GTTTTTGTGTGCATATTAGAGATCATTATGGTCTCAATGCTGGGCGAGTTTCAGTTTCAGACCTTAAACTTTAGCAGTGGATAAGAAAGGGTTAAGTTGCTTGGTATTTTCACATAAGTCACAAGGTGATAACTAGGATAAACACTTTTTGGTCTCAAAGTACCGATACTGTTGTGCAGCAAAATGACTTATTTGAGACTTCATTCGACGCTTCCATTTTTATGAACAGATTCAATGTTCCGCTAGTTCACACCCACACCCTGCGTTTTTTTCAATGTTATCTTGCGAATTTTGTGATGATTTTTTGATGGAACTGTGCCTCTAGACATGCTGTTTATGTGCTCCAAAGATGAGGTCATTTGCTTGAGTATTCTAATATCTAAAGCTATGACAACATCTCCATCTTCAGCATAGCGCCATGTCTCTCTACTAGCTGATATAGGTCTGAAAATTTCAGAGAACGCTGCACATCTAATGAGCATTCAATGCTGTAAATTTGAGGTCTGTATTCTAATCCTTCACTGAGTTTTGAATAACACACTGAGAACTGATGGTTTTTGACATCACCTATGTCTATAATAAAATAAATCTAGTCTCACAACGGCTCAATGAACTTTGAAATTTTTACCAGAGATAGCCAATATACAAGGCTTTGAAATGACGAAACTCCAAGCTCAAAAGCTCTTGTCGTTCTCAAGTTGTAGAGTATACAATGGGAATGGACTGCTTGCCTAATAACTCTCTTGTTACCCATTCTTTAGGGACATGGGTTTCGCTACTGATCTACATTTATCGTGTAGGCTCTGTTTTTCTACAGTTTCGCACAGATAGGTGGTACGTACAATGGGGGGGGGGGGGGGGGGGGGGGGATACTTTTGTCGGGCAGTGCATAATCAAGTTTTATTTTTATAAGTCATATGTAATTATGAGAAATAGTATTTTTTTTCATGTATTTATTTTTCAAAGCTTATGATCTACTTCATTGTTATTTATTGATTTGTGAAAAAGTTTTATAATGAAACTTTACAATGATCTTCGAATCAGTGACTTATTTTGGTAGAAATAAATTACATAAGAATCTTGGTTATCGTTGAGCTGTGTCCAACAGCTTCATTAAAAAAACTTTCGAGCAGATAACTTAAAAAACGCCAAAACAATTGAACAGAAACGATCTATGAAAAATCTTACATTTTTGTTATTTTTTTATCAAAAATCCTATATTTTAGACAAACTGAATCCTATAAGGATTCCTATATTTTTAAGAAATCGCAATCGGAGGTCAGTCAGTAGCAGTTGTGGATGTGGTTGAAGTGGTAGTCGTGCTCGTGGTGCTAGTTGTCGTTGTTGTTGTGCTTGTGCTTGTGGTATTAGTTGTCGTTGTTGTTGTGGTCGTGCTTGTAGTGCTAGTTGTACTCGTGGTGCTGGTGGTGCTGGTGGTGGTGGTAGAACTGCTTGAGCTCGTAGAAGTAGTTGTGCTTGTAGTACTAGTTGTCGTTGTCGTAGTTGTAGTTGCCGAAGTAGTTGTACTTGCTTCATGAAAATATGGTAATTAATAAAGGATGAGGGCGGACAAGGCCATTTTTTTGCCCCTAACAAAATTAACTTTTTTTTTAGGATTTGAAGTAAGGTATGGTTCCTGATTAGATTCCATAGGTTTATTTTTGTACAGCCGACCAAAATATTTTTGGGATCCGCGGTCCACCATGGGGATTTCTGGAAAACTTTTTTTCTTTGATTCCACTAAAACGTTTATTTATTGGTAGAATCAAGTGTGCTGATTACGAATATCAGTATATTAAGTGTTCAAAGCCTTTTACTAAAGAAAAAAGTCAATTCTTTTTCCGGTACCCATTCGGCTTTACACCCAGTTTTTTGCCTCTGTATCTTGTCCATTGATTATTTTAACCTCATGAAAAAAAGGTTTCCGATAAGTAAAACAACTTAGTCTACTTAAATATGAAATATAAAATATCCTGAAAAGCATAATTGGCTATAAAAACTAAGATTACCGACCAAAAACCCGGTTTTCTCTATCTCGTACGAAAAATGAGAGATTCGAAGTCTCCTGATAGCAGATGTGAAACCAAGTAAAATTTGGACTGAATACGTAATTTTGAATGCTCTCTCTGATGGTAACCTGAAAAAGTCCAATAAAACAGTGTATCAAGGTTTTTGAGTGTTTTCTGAAAAACCTTTTAAAGATTTCAAGGGTTTCAACCAAACTGACTTCACCATCATGTTAAGCGCATTTACTTACCTACCTCAAAGTTGTCGAAAAAACAAAATCTGACTGATATACCGGATCGGGACACACATTTCTGTAATTGGCTGTACACAAAATCTAACCCAATCGAAACAATAAAGAAGTTAAAAGAATAGTTATATATGAAATCTAATATAAGGTTTTAAACTTTTGAGGTACGTAATTTGTTGCTCTGAACATGATGGTGAAGTCAATTTCGGTTGAAACCCTTGGGATCTTTAAAAGGTTTTCCAGAGAACACTCAAAAACCTTCGCGCACTGTTTTATTGGGCCTTTTGAGTCTACTATCAGATAGAGCATTCAAAATTATGTATTCAGTCCAAATTTTACTTGGTTTTACATCTGTTATGAGGAGACTTCGAGCCTCTCATTTTTCGTACGAGATAGAGAAAAGCAGATTTCTGGTCGGTAATCCTAGTTGTTATAGCCGATTATGCTTTTCAGGGTATTTTATATTTCATATTTAAGTAGACTACGTTGTTTTATTCATCGGGAACCTTTTTTCATGAGGTTAAAATAATCAATGGACAAGATACAGAGGCAAAAAACTGGATATAAAGCCGAATGGGTGCTGTAAAAAAGATTGACTTTTTTCTTTAGTAAAAGGCTTTGAACACTTAATATACTGATATTCGTAATCAGCACACTTGACTCTGCCAATAAATATACATTTCAACGAAATGAATGACAAAAACTTTTCCAGAGATCTCCGTGAGGGACCACGGGTCCCAAAAAACTTTTAATCAAGTGTACAAAAATAAGCCTATGAAATATAATCCGGGACCATGTTTACTTCAAATCGATAAGAAAGAGTCAATTTCGTTAGAGGCGAAAAAATGGCTTTATGCGCCTTCATCCTTTATTAATTACCATATTTTCATGAAGCAAGTACAACTACTTCGGCAACTACAACTACGACAACGACAACTAGCACTACAAGCACAACTACTTCTACGAGCACAAGCAGTTCT